AAAAAAAAAAAAAGAATCCTTAACAGACTGTAATACTGAGTAAGCAACTACTAACTTTATTTACCTATGTATTTAATATAAAGTACACAGGATATTTGGAAAACTGTGATACAAAAGAGAAAAAACTTAAAGCTCTGCCAATATAATCTAGTAGTCCTCTTTTAAGTATAAAAAACTGGGGGCGCCTGGCTGGCTCAGTCTATAGAGTATGAGACTCTTGATCTCAGGGTTATGAGTTTAAACCCCATAGTGGGTATAATGCCTACTTAAAAAAAAGTGTAAAAAAACAGTAAGATGGCTGTATATTTATATAAGAACATTGCTATCAGAAAGCAATGTAATCGGGGTGTTTGGGTGGCTCAATCGATTAAGTGTCCGACTCTTGATTTCGGCTCAGCTATGGTCTCACAGTTTGTGAGACATCCCTCACAGTCCTGGGGAATGTAATAGTAAGCATGGTGACTATAGTTAACAATACTGTATTGCATATTTGAAAGCTGCTAACAGAGCAGATCTTAAAAGTTCTCATCACAAAGGAAAAAGAATTTGTGGGGTGTCTGGGTAAGCTCAGTCAGTTAAGCATCTGGCTATTGGTTTTGTTTGGCTCAGGTCATGATCTCACAACTTCATGGGTTCAAGCCCCGCATGGGACTCTATGCTGATGGTGCAGAGCCTGCTTGGGATTCTCTCTCTCCCTCTCTCTCTGTCCCTTCCCTGCTCACACTCTCTCTGTCTCTCTCAAAAAATAAATAAACTTTAAAAGAAAAAAGAATTTGTAATTATGTGTGGTGATAGATGTTAACTAAATTTATCATGGTGATCTCTTCATAATATATATGCATATCAAACTATTATTTGTATAATAAAACTAATACAATGATATGTCAATTAGATCTCAATTTCCAAAAACAAAAACAAAAACAAAAAGCAAGATAGTATTAGGATTTAAGAGAACAGACTCTGAAGCCAGATAAACAAGTATTTAAATCCTAGATCCAACATTTATTAGATGACTGACTTGGGAAAAATTATTTAATTTCTGTGTGTAGCAGTTTCACATCTGTAAAATGTAGACAATAATACCAACTTCTTGATACTGCTAGCTACATGTGCCAGTACTTGATGGCCGGCTACATTTAAAAGGAAAAAACTGCTATGTATAAAAAAAGACAAGAAAATACAATAGAATTTAAAATTTTGGGTGATAGGATTGTGGGTATTTTATACTCCTCTTTCCTTTACTCCTGATCTTACAAATGTTTGACAACATGTATTATTGGTTTTGTGGTAGAAAAGAACACAGGCTTTGAAAGTTTTAAATGTGTGACAAACTTGAAATCAGCTAAAAAACAACTAATAGTTTAAATATTAGCAATCCAACTTTATAGAAGAAGCTTGAAGAATGTTACACATGAGAAAACTAAAGAGTAACAACCATTTTCAAAGCTCCAGTGAATCAGAGAACATGATTTTCTCTATTGAGATTATGATCCTATACACATAACAAGTGTAACATTTTATATTAGAAGAGCACTTTAACACCCAGACGAACTAAATGAGTGACACAAATTCAAATTGATCCACAAATTAGTGTTAGGACACCAAGATGAAAACCTACTTGCCTTCCCATTCTACCTTTATGCCTGTCAGTGTTTCTTATAAAAGAAAAAATATAACAAAAACACTTTTTGAATATCCAGAAACCAAACTAGAATAAGATTAACCTAGGCTGAAACTCAATAGCTTTTTATGAAAGTAAAGACTCCTTCAGAGTCCCTTTAGATCTAGAAATAAGTGAAATATGATCATGGATTTTGATAAAGTACAAATGCAAGCATTTAAAATTGCATTTTTATTAACTTATAGATCATTTATACTTTTGTTTATAATGTACAGTAAAATCAAAAGTAATATAATGTACTTGTTTGAAAACATTCTATAATATAGATTGATCTTTTTATTGGAATATGAAATAACCATTCATATAGGTTGTTCTGAAGAGAAAACTCATCAATTTTGCTCAAGTACCAAGTAGAAAATAAAGTTTAACTACTTTTAAAAGTTCAGCTAAATCTGCCCCCAAATTACTTTACTATGACAGACTGGTACCTATAAATCATGGACCCTTCATCAAAGTAAAAATCATTAAGAGGACAGCATTGTCTTATGTGTTGGTTTTTTTTTTTATTTACCTGACTATAAACAGAGAAATGAACAAAATGGTCTCTAAGTCTCTTGCAGCTTCAGTTTTTCAAACAACTCAAAGCAAAACATACAACCTGAGAGGAACAGTAGGAAAATAAGAAAAATACCACCAGCAACCACATATTTCTATAGAAAAAACTTCAAAAGGTTTAATTCCTTATTTCAGGATTAATCAAAATTAAAAAACAGACCAACAACAAATATTAATAAGGCACTGGAGCAAAGGGACATAAATGATTCAAAGGAATAAATGAGAGAACAAGAAGTTTTAGGTATAAAACTCATTTAGACAATCAATAGTACCTTAAAAAAAACATTATATAAACACAATCCAAAAAGAATTACTACCAACCTAACATACACAAATTTACCTTTATCTTAGTGTGCACATCAAAGATATCAGGGATACTACCAAAAATAGTCTTAATCTCTTCTGGTGCAAGGATAGGCCCACCACGTTGTCCTTCCTCTTCCAATGGTACTTGAAATAACTAAAAGGTTAAAAAAAAACCCACTAGTTTAGATAGGTTATAGGGAAAAACGCAAACATATTGACAGTGAGGGGCGCCTAGATGGCTCAATTGGTTAAGTGTCTGACTTCGGCTCAGGTCATTATCTTGAGGTCCATGAATTAGAGCCCCACACCTCAGAGCCTGGAGCCTACTTCAGATTCTGTGTCTCCCTCTCTCTCTGCCCCTCCCCCTCTCTCGCATACACTCCCTTCCTCTCTCTCTCTCTCAAATATAAACATTAAAAAAACACTTAGAAAAAAACATATTGACAGTGATAAGAGAGAGGTTGATGGAAAAGAAAAAATTAAAAAAAGAAATCTCTCCCTAAATTTGAGACCTTTTTTCCATTAACATTTTCTATTTTATCCTATTTATTTATACATCTGTGTGTATATATATTATCATAAAATGTTATGTTAGAATCTAATAACATGAAATTGCTAGTATAATACAAGAGTAATTTGCACTTTTCTTTCAAATTACTAAGGAAGAAAGCAATAAGCAATCAGTGATTTCCAGACATACGCTTAATAGAAATACTAAATGTTTTGACATTTAGAATTTCTGGGTCACCGGCTATACACATTTTTAACTTTACTGGAAGTTTGACAGTAGGTTGGAAACTAGTTTTTGTGTTGGTTTTCTGTGTCCACTGAGGCCTTGCGGTCTTTGGGGTAAAAGCTGGTTTTAGTACACAACTCCCTACTTAGATTTTGGCCTCTGAATATACCTTGCTTCATTTAAAAAAAATTTTTTTTTAATATTTATTTTTGAGAGACAGAGAGAAACAGAGCACAAGTGGGGGAAAGGCAGAGGGAGAGAGGAGACACAGAATCCAAAGCAGGCTCCAGGCTCTCAGCCGTCAGCACAGAGCCCTACACAGGGCTCAAAATCACAACCGCGAGATCAAGACCTGAGCTGAAGTCCACTGCCCAACCAACTGAGCCACCAAGGCGCCCCATGAATATACCTCACTTTATTATCAGCTTACTGATGTATTTAGAATAATAAAGGCTTTTCTTTTTTGATTTTTTTTTTTTTCTGATTTCAGTATTTTTATTGTTTCTAGTGGGTAGGGTTCATAATTGCAGAAATAGAAGGCCTGGAAAAATATATTTATTTAATATGTTTTTATGTATATAAGTATTTTGGGTGACTAAACTTATAGAAATGTAATTCTTAAAACCAGTAACAATTCATAATCTTCGCTTGAAGTGTTTTGGTTTTTTTTTTAAAGACTTTATTTTCAAGTAACCTCTACATCCAACATGGGGGTCGAACTCACAACCCTGAGACCAGAAGTCACATGCTCTACCGACTGCGTCAGCCAGATGCCCCCATAATTTTCATATAGTTCTTTACTACTATCTTTTATTTTATTTATTATTATTATTATTATTTTACTTCTGCTCCTCCTGGCCTTTGTGTTATTGTCATTCATTTTATTTCCACGTATATTAAGAACCCAACAATACATTACTACTTTTACTTTAAATAGTTATTTGACTTTTTAAAATTTTACTTTTTACTTTAAAACCTCCCAGTAGTCTTAAGACATGTTAAACTATACAAAACGGTTCTCTGTACTTGCTTTAAGCCTCCATAAAAAATTAGCCAAACACTTCTGATTCTACCTTTCCAACATTTCTCAAATTTGTCCTATTTTCATTTTCACTGAAAGAAGTTCAAGTCCTCAAAATCTCTAACCAAGACTGCTGAAATAACCTCTAAATTAGTCCTGTCTCCATAATTTCCCCTCTTCAGTACCTCCTTCTAAGTGAAACAAGTTATCTTCCAAAAATGCAAGTCAGATACCATCTTCCCCTTCCCATCAAAAATTCTTCTCTAGGGGCGCTTGGGTGGCTCAGTCGGTTAGGCGGCGGACTTTGGCTCAGGTCATGATCTCGCAGTCCGTGAGTTCTAGCCCCGCGTCAGGCTCTGTGCTGACAACTCAGAGCCTGGAGCCTGCTTCATATTCTGTGTCTCCCTCTCTCGGACCCTCCCCCATTCATGCTCTGTCTCTCCCTGTCTCAAAAATAAATAAAAGTTAAAAAAAAAATTCTTCTCTATATTACATATAACACTATACAAAGGCCTTCTCTAGTCTGGCATAGACAGCCTGACCTCAACTCTCACTGTATCCACACCCTACCCCTTGCACCTTAGTTCCCTTAAATCACCCTAAATGCTAATCCCCTAGACTAGTCATTATACCTTGAATGTTGTATACATCTTCAATTATTATTTGCACAATCTCAAATACACTCCCTACCCATATTTTTTACATGTACTAATCATACTCCTACTTCAAAATTCACTTCAATTTTTATCTTCTTTATGATACTTTTTCCAGTGTTCAACCCACCAAACTTCCAACCCAACACACTCCTTAAGCTCATAAAAGTAAAACTCCCACCTCACAAATCTCCAAATACCTTAACTAAACCTCCCTCATGATGTTCATACCCTTTTACTCAGTATTATAATTAGGTATGTATGTTTTATCTCCTCTTCCAATCTAAGCTCCTTTAAAACAGCAATCTTCTTTGACACTTGGGAAACTAATTTATATTAATAGGCACCCAAGTATTATATGAAATACATAAAGAAGCTTCTGGGGCTAAATTAAATTATTCCAAATCCAATTTCAAAAAAAAGGAAGGAAAACATCAGTCCTAAAATAAAGACTGAAGAGAACATTATTATGAATTTAGATCACAATCTTTTAAATAAAATCTTAGGTGAGTTTATAGTAAGCATAGTGGTATGAAATGATGTAAGTCTAATAATTCTAAGGGCCTTTTTAAGGCATTTTAACAAAGTTAATTGATATGCAAATTAGAATTCTGAAACTCCAGTGCATTTACCATGGTCTGAAAGGATTTACATTTCTGGGTAATAAATGCTACCAAAGTACATGAACAGTATATGCCAACGGGATTTTCTGCTACTCGACTACATTTTGGCTGACTATAAAAACTTCAACAAGAAACTCATCCAGAATGATTTCCCTTGAGGAAGAAGAGCAAAGCTGACTTAAAACAAGTAAAGTTTAATACAGCAAAGGGCCTCATAAACCCTTGACTGCTGCTAAACAAATTAACTGTGAAGAATAACCTCTCCATGAATAGCAAGAAAGAAGTCTTTCCATTTCTTATCCATGCATTTTATCAGTAGTACAAGCAACTAAAGGCTATTATATTGAACCCTAATGAGTTGTATTAAGAATTCAAATAGAGGTCAGTTAAAAATTAACCCCAATCAGAAGCTCCCTATTATTTTTCTATTCAGAGACAAGCATGATGGTATCAACTTTATTTTTCTGACAATCTCCTTCATTACCTAAAACAAATCTATTACCTCTTTCTGCAGATGCCAAAATAATATCCTATTATTGTATTTCAGAACCCTGAATTTCAGTCTTTTCTTTAATATCATCTTCAGTCTCATCCTAGAAGGATCCATTAGAATTGTTCTTCTTCAGCAATAACTTCATAGTACATTTTAATGATAAGCAAGGAATTAATATTTATGACTAACCACTACATACTTTAAGAAACTTGACACATGAGGGGGGCCTGGGTGGCTCAGCCCATTAAGTGTTTGACTTCAGCTCAGGGCATGATCTCACGGCTCAGTAGTTCGAGCCCTGCGTCAGGCTCTGTGCTGACAGCTCAGAGCCTGGAGCCTGCTTCGGTTTCTGTGTCTCCCTCACTCTCTGCCTCCCGACCCCCTGCTTGTGCTCTGTCTCTCAAAAATAACTAAACATTAAAAAAATTAAAAAAAAAAAAAGAAAAAAGAAAAAAAATAAACTTGACACATGAAAGGATTACTGAAAACAAAAATTACATTCATATTGTTATGCTTCATTGCCATTGCTTTTCACATATATACAGTATGACTTCTAGAATGCACACTTTCAGAAAAAGTTATCTACCACATCCGCGTATGAATATAAATGCAGTATCCTGACAGCGAACATGCAAAGTTCTGCATTGAATAAAAGTTAGTTCTCTCCAAGATTATCTACTGAGGATCCTTCTCTTTTTAAAGTCACTATAAAAAATGGTGCTATTTCTATATGAATAAAAGCTACTATTACAGTTATGGTATTTCCCTAATAGCAGATTTTCATCATACATTTTCATTTTTAGTATCTATGTTCAAATTCTATGCTTATATAATTTGCTTGTAAGAAATAACACTTCTCAGATTTTTTAGTTATGAACACTGGAACAGGGATCATTTTGCACCAAACTCTTACCTGAATAATTGTGGCCAATATATTTACATAATTACTTTCAGTCTGATAAAGCTCTTTTGCAACTTGCCACCTGGCTGACTGCTTTGAAGGAACCGGAGTAGAATTTTTAGAAGACTTAGTACAAGATTTTGGTGTTTCTAAAAGGTAAAAAGGAGGAAAGATTTAATAAAAACCAGATACAAGTACCAGATACTGTGCAGATTTAACAACAAAAAAAGGGGGAAAGATATCCACTCTTAGAAATATACCCATTTAGATTTTCATTAAAGTAAAATTTCTTTACAGGATAAAGCCAGAAAAAAATAATGGTCCAAAGTATCAATGACTCCAAATTGACAGATTTGGCCTGTCATTATACTAAATAATGGCCTGTACTCTTCAAAAACGTTGAAGTCATTAAAAACAGAGAAAGTTAGGAACTATTCCAGATTAGAAGAGACTAGAGAGAGATAACAACTTTCTCTATGATCCTGGATTGAGTCTTAGACCAGGAAAAAAAAAAAGGAACTTTTTTCTTTTCCTAAAAAGGATATGAGTGGAACAACTAATAAAAATTAAGAGTAGGTCATACATAGTATTAACGTCAATTTCCTAATTACAATACATGTATTATAGTGGTACAAGAAATGTCTCTCTATTTTAGGAAATACACATTTAAGTATTTAGAAATAAAGGGTCATCGTATCTGCAACTTAATCTCAAACGGTGCAGACATAAAAAATATGTGTGTATATAGAAAGAGACAGAGAATGAATGAATGAATGCTAACACAATCATGGCAGAATATTTCCATTTGGGAAAGAAATCTGAGTAGAGTACTAGAATCTTTGTACTATTTTTGTAGCTTTTTGCAATCTAAAATATTTCAAAATAAAAAGCTCAAATAAAATAAAATTTAAAACTCCATAAAAATATTTAAGTTAAAAGATAAAGAGGTTGTTATGATTACACAGTAACAGAAAACTTATCACATATATATGCAGGAAGCCTTCCTCAAAAAAACCAACATCACTGCAAATTCTTCATTAGTTCTTAACATAATATGAAAACACCTAGTCCAACACAAAACGGGAGGACACATTAGTATTTTTTATACATATTTCAAAAAACATGATATTTCATAAAAGCTTTATATACACTTTCACTTTCTTACTATCAGTTATGATTAAAATACTTTAACATTATGTACAGAATCTCCTAATAGCAAGTTTTTCTAATGTATAACATACAATAGAATGACATGGAAAAAAACAATATAGTCCCAGTATATTAACTTTACTCAATGATAATTTTAAATATTATTAATACAATGGTGTGTACTATGGAACTTTGAATGTTTTTTAAAGCTAGTAGACTTCAAAGATTCTCCCACTTGCCATATGTTATTTCAGGCTGCTCTCGACAGATCCAAGAGCTTCTGCCGTTACATATTTCAGGAGGAAGAAACTGACATACATCGATCTAATTTAATTATTGTGTGTAGGCAGTGATCTACAAACTGGGCATTCTCCTATACAGAGTACCTAATATATTAGTACAACTGTCATGTCTGGGTTTTTTTAGTGGTTCATTTTCTTCTCCTGTTCCTTCAACTGCATATTCAAGCTTCAGTCCTTTATGATCAGCTCTTACCCTCCCATGCCCAGTATGTCCATCATGATTATGGAACCAGTAAATTCTCAGACATATGTATCTAATCATAATCCTCTACCCAAGCACCAAGTTCAATTTTTCCAAATACCCACTGGACATTTGTACCTCAATTTTACCTGGATATTCTCTAAAACTGCACTATCTTCCTCCAAAATATAGACTTCCTGTTTTTGCTAAGGTAACATTTCTCCTATTTTAATACTTTGCCATCATCCTTATTCCCTTCCTGTCACTCCATTCCATCAATATCTCCACTTTTCTTTCCAACCATCAGTAACCCTGACTCAGGACCTTATCACCTTGTGGCCCAAGCCACTATAGATTACTTCATGGTCTGGCAATCTCTAAACTGTCTTCCTTTGAATCATTTTTCAGAATAATTCACTACAAATTACCTACTCAAACAATTACTCTACTGCTCGATAGCTTAAGTTCCTCGTTAATGACAATATGCAGTTCAGACATGCCAGTCTGATTTTAAAGTCCTCTAATATTAGGCCCCAACAACTAACCTTTCTAATTTAACTATTACTCCTCCATACTACAAGTCAACTAATCTCTTCACTATTCCTAAAAAACGAATTTGTATACTGTTATCTGTGTTCTTACTCATCTTACTTCTCAACTCCACCTTGGTTTTCTGGGCCTACCCTAAATTGACACTCAATTCCTTCCATGAATATTTAGTGAGGCACTGTTCTTGTTTTCTTAAAGTTTACATTCTGGTGAGGCAAATAAAATAAACAAAAAATATAGTTTCTAACAGTAAAAACTACTACTAAAGACAACAACCACATAATGGGTTGGTGAGAAGTACTCAAACAGGGATGTAACTTTGTAGAAAACCCAACAAGATTTCTTTAAAGCAAAGAGGGCAAGTATAAAGTTCCTGAGGTATGAATGTAGTGGGAATATCTGAAGAATAACAAAGATAGTGTGATGGAAACTTAAAATATTACGGGGGAACATGGTATCCTATGAGGTTGGAGGTAAGTGAGGAAGGATCACATAGGAACTTGGAAGCTACGGTAATAAAAAGCCACTGTATGACTTCTAGCAGAGAAGTGGCATATGTATTTTAGAAACCTAAGTGCTGCATGCAGAAAGGCAAAATTGGGGGTGCCTGGCTGGTTCAGTCGGAAAAGCATACAACTCTTGACCTCAGGGTTGTGTGTTTAGAGGCCAGGATAGGTGTAGAGATTACTTAGATAAATAAACTAACTTTAAAAAAAAGAAGGGGCACCCAGGTGGCTCAGTTGGTCAAGTGTCCAACTTTTGATTGTGGCTCAGGTCATGATCTCATAGTTTTGTGGATTTGAGCCCCATGTCGGGCTCCATGCTGATGGTGTGGAGCCTGCTTGGGATTCTCTGTCTCCCTCTCTGTCCCTCCCCTACCTGTGCTGACTCTCTCTCAAAATAAATAAATAAATAAACTTAAAATTAGAAAGGAAGGAAGGAAGGAAGGAAGGAAGGAAGGAAGGAAGGAAGGAAGAAAGAAAGAAAGAAAGAAAGAAAGAAAGAAAGAAAGAAAGAAAGAAAGAAAGAAAAGGAAAGGGGGCACCTGGGTGGCCCAGTTAGTTAAATGTCCGACTTTGGCTCAGGTCACAATCTCGTGGTTCATGAGTTCGAGCCCCGTGTCAGGCTCTGTGCTGACAGCTCAGAGACTGGAGCCTGCTTCAGATTCTGTATTGCCCTCTCTCTCTCTGCCCCTCCCCCACTCATGCTTTGTCCCTCCCTTCCTTCCCCCTCAAAAATAAACATTAACAAAATAATAATAATAATGAATAATAAATAAAAAGGCAAAAATGAATACAGAGAGACCATTTAGGAGACAAAAATAATTGTCTAAGAGAGATCCATTTTATAGAAAAGGCCGATAAAGGAAGGGTGGCAAAGGAATAGAGTTGAGAGTGGTAGAGAAAATCAAAACCAAGAGTTCTAATTTGATTAAGTTTAAGAAGTGTATTAGACATGGACAAATAGGAATAGGTATTAAGAAGGCAGTTGGGGGGTGCCTGGGTGGCTCAGTCGGTTGGGCACCCGACTTCAGCTCAGGTCACAATCTCGCGGTCCATGAGTTCAAGCCCCGCGTCGGGCTCTGGGCTGATGGCTCAGAGCCTGGAGCCTGCTTCCAATTCTGTGTCTCCCCCTCTCTCTCTCTGCCCCTCCCCTGTTCATGCTCTTTGTCTCTCTCTGTCTCAAAAATAAATAAACGTTAAAAAAAAAAAAAAATTAAAAAAAAAAAAAAGAAGGCAGTTGGACAGAGAAGATGACAACTTAGGGAGTCAAGAGCATATGAATGTTTCTAAAGCCATGGAATTAAAAATGAGACCATTTAGGAAGAATACAATAGAGAAGAAATGACTCAGAAATAACATTCAATAGTTAGAGGTGGAGAAGTTAGGCAAAAGAGAACAAGAAATGACGTACAAAATCTAAGAGAAAACTATCTCCGGGAAGAAATAGCTGTTCGTGTTCAATGTTGCTGACTGCATAAAAAAGGTCAGTCTCCTCAGTAAGAGCAATTTCATGCAGTAGGGACTTAAGTTCAATTGGAATGAGTTAAAAAGACAATGAAAGGCAAGGAAGTGACACAATAGATCAAGGTAATTCTTTGAAGAGTACTCCTATAAAAGGAAAGAGAGAAATGAGATAGTAAATAGAGTCATGAGGTTAAGGGAAGGCTTTGATTGCTTCTTAAGTGTAAAAAACACAACATATTTACGTGCAGATTGAAAACCAAAAATAGAGAGAAAAACTGATGACCAAGAGAGAAGAGTTAATTATAGGGCTGGCTTTCTTCTATCATTTGAGACAAACTGAACTTACCCTACAGTGATTTAATTGTACCTATTTTCTCCATAATTCATGTGACACCTTCTGTGATCTTTTTTTTGCTAGTTAAGAATTTGCTCTTTGAACAGCTCTATCATTTTCTACAGTAATATACAAATAAAATATAGAAAGCACTTAGCATATAGTAAGCAATCATTACATGGAAGCATTTTTATGTGCCTTTTCTCCTCACCAAGAACAACAGTAATAAAAGGTAGAACCTTTCATGTTCACTGTAGTAGTGATTTACCTATACTCTAATAATTATTCCATTCTGCTAAACTGTAATCATCAATTTTTTAAAATGTGAATTACCTCCATAGTTAATGCTAGACTCTGGTGTGTTGGAGATATCTAGGAGTGACCCTATAGAAAGCGAGTGTTCGGCTGACGGGCGCTTACGGGGAGGAAAAGGTGACATGTCTGTCTCTCTCGAAAGCTGAGCAAGTGTCTCTTTTAAACGACGTCTTTTGCGATTGCTGTTTGGGGTATTTAGAGAAAGCAGTGACACTGATTTCTTGAGCTCAGGAGTATTAGCCTGCAATCAAAAGCACAAAAGCTCTATTTTACTTTCTTGGTTCTATACTGAGACAGGAACAGAAGAAAAATGTATTTACAAGTTTGACAAAACCTGGATTTTGCACAATGATTTTACAACTATACACTCTGCCAGGTAATTCAGAAGATTCATAAAACATAATAGTCAAGGGACCACTGTAATTGCCTAACCCCAAGCACCTCATTCTGTTTCTTCATAGCTCTATCACCATTACGTATTCATCTGTAAGCTTGTTTACTGTCTAGTCCCCTGTTAGGACATAAACTCTGGAGGGCAGGGACCATTCATATTTTGTTCACTGTATCCTTAGCATTTAGCACAGCGCCTGGACATATTGCTCTCCAATATTTGCCAAATAACACTTGACTTTAAAAGCTCTCTCTTGATATTTTAAGCACAGATTTTAAACTTTACGTTAAAAACCTTGAGAACAAAAGAGTCAGAAGACAATATAGTACCTATTTAGATTTTATAGAAACATAATAAATCTGTACCTTGTCTTCAATATTCCATTCAAATTAAATCTCCAAATAAAGAAAATCTTCCCTTCATGTTTTGGTGAATGATACCACTTTTCACCAATCTAGGACGAAGGCTGCATTTTCCTGGCTTACAATCTGCTATTAGAGTCATTTTTTTAATGACATCTCTCCCCTTAATATTCTTCAATGGCTCCCAATACTCCTTACCTAGTATATTCTTCACCAGTTCCCAATCCTTAATACTATTCAATGGCTCCCAATACTTCCCAAATTCTTTAACATATTATAAACTCCTTGATTCTGCCTACATCATAAGCTATATTTATTGGCCTTTCCAACAGTTTTCTAAAGCCATAGTAAACTAAACTACTTGCTTTTTCAAGCTTAACACCATCTCCCACCTGTTATCTAACCTGAATGTCTGTACAAGGTTAAATTAGTAAGTTGACTAAACACTTACTTGCTCTTTTCAGTCCCTCCTGAGTCTCTCAGAGTGAGATTAGTTAAAATAATTACTCAACTATAGCACATATTCTACACTGTAACTGTTTGTATATCCATCTTTTCCTTAAGATTCTAAGTTTCTAAAGATAGGATTGTTATTGTTCATAATGGTATCACTAAGAAGTAGCACAGAATGACATAGATTAGATTAAAATATCTACTGCATTGAAGTTTTACTTAAAGCTACACAGCCTATTACTCAATATCCAATTATCCAATTATTCTGAAACTCCTAAACATGACGTAAAAGATGACTGGTATGCCAACTATATGCTCTTTTCAGACAGAAGTGTTATCTTTATATCACCAAATTCACAGAGCAAATGACTAAGGGACAAAAAAGCATACCTTTTCATATAAATACATAGTTTCTCCAGCTCGGGCATCCATTTGAATGCTTCCCCAGAACCACTAGGTGAGAGACAAAAAAAAAATTTTTTTTTAATTAAGATTTACCTTCTCAGAAAAGCTATTAGGTGAGGCACCTGAGTGGCTGAGTGGGTTAAGCATCCAGCTCTTGATTTCAGCTCAGGTCATAATCTCACAGTTTGTGAAATTGAGCCCCACGCCAGATTCCACACCAACAGTGCAGAGACTGCTTGCAATTCTCTCTCTCTCTCTCTTTCTCTCTCTCTCTCTCTCTCTCCTTCCCCGTGCTTGAGCTCTCTC